CTAAAGGGCGGGAAGGCGCCCCACCCGCCTCTCCCCGGCGCCCGAGTGCCGAACCCGCGAATGCCAGCACACAACGAGGTTTTCCTCAGAGGAGGAAGGAATGGCGACGGATAAGCGGAATCCCGCCGATCAATTCAGTGTATTTTTGACAGCCCTCCAAGACGAGGAAGGCGACAGCGAGGGGCCGGGCCAGGCACAAAAGCAAAGCTTTCCCTGCCCCTGGGCTTCCCGCTTTCCCCTCCCCTCCTTTCATCCGTCGCCCTGGCAGGATAATCAGAGTAATGACGGGGTGTTCATGCTTCACAACCCCGGCAGCCCTGTCAGGGTAAACGCTCCCCCCCCCGCCCGCCTTGCTGCGGCGCGCCAAGCAATTCTCCTTGTGGCCGGTGATTATGCCGCCCGGCCTTATTCCACCTCACCCCTTTTGTGGAGTATGTGTGTGCATGCTTGAATGTCTGTCTGCAAACCGTCTGGGCAAAAGCTATCGAGGCCGTCTGTGGCGCCTTCCTCCCTCTCTCTCTCCACCTGCAGCCCCGGCCGCTTTTCACTCACTCGCACCACCTCAGGGGTTCCAGGCAAACGCCCGGCAGTTTCTGGGCAGGGAAAACCCTCCACGTAGGGGGTCCCTGAGGGCGGAGGGCTTTCGGGAGGTCCTAAATAGCAAAGCGCTGCCATTAAGAGCAGCCGGGCGAGAGGAGACCGCGATGGCCGCGCGCGGGGGCGCGCGCTCTCAACCTGCCTCGCCTGTTCCCGCCTCACAGTTTGGAAGGGGACCGGCCTCTCGCCATCCCTCCTCGCCCATTGAAAACCACCTGATTAAGCAACCTATATCCCCTCTCTCAGAATCATAGGCACAGACACCCGCCTACCCTCCCTCCCCCCTTTTGGCGCCTTCCGCTCTAGGATCAAGCAGGGGGGCGGGCGTTTTCACCTTTCACCTGGGTCCCCTCCTGAGGCGGCAGCAGGAGCACCGGGGGTTCTTTGTTTAACGAAACAAAAGGACAGCAGCCACCACCCGTGCCCAGGTTGCACAGATGGGGAGGTGCGCGTGTTTTGGAGGTGGGTGGGATGGAGTCAAGGCTTCCATGTTGGTCTTTGCGTTGTTGTTGTTGCTGCTGCTGCTGAGAACCTCGGGGAGCCCCAGCTTAAAACGACGACTCATGCACGCGCGTTCTTTGCAAAACGAAGTCGGAACAGAACAGAAAAGCCAGACCTACTTGTGGGGCGTAAATTCGTCGGGTTGGGATCCTGAGCCGTATTGGAGGAGGACGGATCCGAGGCGGCCATCAGGTTCAGAGCCCAGGGTTTCCTCCCTCAGGGTTTGCTCTGATTTCCAACAAAAGGATTTACTGCAAAGAAAGAGAAAAGCGGGTTTAAAGATCAGATGCTGGTTGGGGAAAGGGGCGGCGCGGGAAACGGATGATGGATACTGGCTTCTTCCCGCTCCACCCAGCGCTCACGGTCTAGTCGGAAGACGTGACGGTCAAGAAGTGATCCTGCAGCCGACAACAAGCCATTCAACTCACTCGGAAGCAGCAGTTCTCGGTGGTGGGGTGAGGGTTGAGGGGTGTGCGCGCGTCTCGCGCTCTGTGTGTGTGTGTGTGTGAGAGAGAGAGAGAGAGAGAGACAGAGAGCGAGAGAGACAGAGAGCGAGAGAGCAGTGACGGTGGGGGCAGCCTTGGGATGCCTGCACAAAAGGATTGTGTTGCACCTCCTGTTGGAAGACGCGTCCTTCTTCTTCTTCTTTTTTTTAAGGAAAAGGGAAGGGCCTTAGAGAGAGGCCACGCTGTCAACCTTCTTTCTGGAGATCCCCGACGAAACAGCTGAAAGCGGCAGACCAACCTCCTCGTTGGTTCTCCCTAGGCAGCGCCCGGTCTCTCGCTCACTCGGGAAAAGGAAAAAAAATGTCTGGGCGACGACGAAGCTCCGGCGTTCCTTTTGCGGCTCCGGGGAATGGGCGGCGAGGTGCTGGGCGGAGGGCGGGTTTTCTGGACCAGAACCGACCGTCTGGGCCAATTACATCAACGGGCAACGAAGAC